ACTTTACTTTACTTTACTTGCATGAGATATCAAAGAGATTGTCTGATGATTACCGCATTCTGTTGGCCATATTAGTACAAAATAGCGAGGCTTCGTACAGTCAGTGGTGCTTTACATGTATTGAAATGGTAAGGTGCTAAACTTCCAAATTAAAACTGGAGTGCAAATAAAGAAAGCAAACCGTGAAGTTGAAAGCGTGGGTGGGGTGGGAGAGACAACCTACGCAGAAAGATACCATAAAAATGATGAGAGGCAGCTACAATCAGGATCAGAAATGCTTAGGATCCAGTTTTCTTCAGAATAGCTTCCTCTCAGTCATGTGGTCCTTCTCTTGCAAGTGTTTGAAAACTCTTAGCCCTGCCCTTAAATGTCCACCTGAGGGGTGTGGTTCCGCAGTAAGCCCTGTCTCAGAGGCACTCGCTTCCAGTTCCGTGGGCCAGGAAGCCCCCTCTCCCTCCGACTGGTGCCTGTCCTGCTGCCTCCACAGCCCTGCTTCTCACCACCTCCGGTGCTGCAGCTCTCTGTCCCCCGGATCTAGGAGATTCCACTCATGGGTCTTGGGGTTGGACTCCACTGCTGGTTCTCTTTCTTGATGGTAGCAAGGTCTCCCTTTCTGCTTCTGGGATGACTCATTTTATTCCTGTTGAGATGGCAAAACTGGCCAACCCCCACATTTTTGTTGTTGTGAAGGGCTATCAAGTCGCTTCGAGCTCTGTATTTTTCATCTGCATGGTCCCACCCCACAGGAGTACCATGCCCCTTATTCACATTAACTAGCTACCCAGTCTCCTTGGGGGCTACAAGCTGTCATGTTTGCACAATCCCACCCAATCCTTTGGTTGGTGTTACAAGATGATATGGCTAGGAGGGGCATATCAAGTAATTCATCTTAGCGGAGACAGATAAGGAGAAGATCAAACAAAATAGGATAGTATTATAGAAAAAAAAATCAAGTATACAGCATTATATGTCTTAAATATCATAGATGCAAAATCAAGTACACAAATATACATCTTAAACCTCAAACGCTAGCCATAGTAATGGTACAACTACATGGAGTCTACATGAGACAAACCGGAAACAGAGACTTTGAGAAGTTCGAAGGAAAAGGTTAAACAAAAATATAGCAGGCAAGTATGTTGTTGTTGTTGTTAAGTGCTGTCCAGTCATTTCCGACTCATAGTGATGCTGTGTGGGGTTTCCAAGAAGTGACTGGTGAGTTTGAACCAGCGACCTTGCAGTGCCAACATCCTCGTGGTCCAGTACATTATTCCACAGTGCTACACACACCCTTTTAAAATTAGTTCAGTTTATCACAATGAAACTTTAAAAAAATCGGTTGAATTCTAAGCAAAAGAGCATTGTTGTTGTTAAGTGCCACTGAATCAGTTCTGACCCATAATGAACTGTGTAGGGTTTCTGAGGAGCAGCTGGTGAGTTTGAACCACCGACTTTGTGGTTCAAACTGACCTTGAGGTCCAGCTCATTAACCCACAATGCCACACTGGGGGAGGCAAAAAGAGTTACTTTTTTTCATTATGATAAAGATTATTACGTATTATAAAACTATATTCACCAAAACTATCAAAATTAGTTTAAGTGGAGCTTTATAAGAAACACTGAGCAGAAATAATAATACAAAACCACCACCATTTTCAGTTTTGAAAGATGAACTAGACCAAATGAAACAATGACTGAACGTTTGATGTCATGAGATTAAATCCCACAGACCAGGTATAAAACCTGAGGCCACAACATCTCTAATAATTTCAAGAAAGTAGAAATAGTACAGACTATGATATGACAACAAGCAGTTAAGGTACATATTGGTGGTGGCTGGTGGTTATGTGCCGTGGAGTCGGTTCCGACTCATAGTGACCCTGTACACTGTTTCCGAGGCTGTAAATCTTTATGGGAGCAGAACACCTCATCTTTCTCCCATGGAGCAGCTGGTAGTTTCGAACTGCTGAGCTTGTGGTTTGCAGCCCGATTCGTAACCACTATGCTACCAGAGCTCCTTGTTAGTAAATTAAAAATTAAAATACCTCTGTTGGGGAGACTTGAAAATTTACATACTAATTTTCCTTAAATTACTCTTCAAAGATGGAAACCAATACATAAAAAAAAAAAAATGTAATATCTAAAAAAAAATCCATTAAGAAAACGTAACTGTATAACCTTTAGCTCACAGGTAAAGCTATATTCAGAAGAATATCCACAGCCTAAGTACTTTGAACAACGTGCGATATGCAGATGATACAACCCTGTTTGCTGAAAGCAAAGAGGACTTAAAATACTTACTAATGAAGATCAAAGACCACAGCCTTCAGTATGGATTGTACCTCAATGTAAAGAAAACACAAATCCTCACTGCTGGAGCAATAAATAACATCATGACAAATGTAGAAAAGATGGAAGTAGTCAAAGACTTCATTTTGCTTGGCTCTGCCATCAACACTCAATCAAGCAGCAGTCAAGAAATCAAACAATGTATTGCATTAGGCAAATCTTAGGAAAATACAGATCGTCGTATAGAATCAAGTAGAATTAGAAATCAATGTATCAGTACTTCCAAGGAATTGTATTTAAGTTTCAATGATCTTTCTCTCCAACCATTCAAAATGCTAGCTTCATATTAGTGTTTTTTCATACTAAGTTTTCCCCCAAAGGTAAATGCTTTATTAAACTATATGAAACAAAAAAGATAGCTTTCTGATTCGTGTCATAAAGCCAATCATGCATTTTCAGCACAAAGAATACTTTGGGCAAAAATTCTAACTGATAATAGCAGTATTCACTACATTGCAGGCTGGTTGAGGAAAGGTGCACACATTAACTCTCACAGCAGTCTGATAGGCAGGGGTTTTTTTGTTGTTGTTAAGTGCCATTGAGTTGGGTCTGACTCATAGCCACCTTTTGTAGGCTATCCGAGGAGTGACTGGTGGGTTTGAACTGCCGACCTTGTGGGTCACAGTCAAGTGCTAATCCTATAGTGTCACACCAGGAGTCCAGACTGGGATTGTTGTTATTAAGTGCTGTCAAGTTGGTTGTGACCCATAGTGACCCTGTATAGGGTTTCTGAGGACCAGCAGATAAGCTTGATTCACTGACCTTGTGGTTCAAATCGACCTCGCAGTCCAGCACATTAACTCGCATTGCCACATCAGGACTTCAGACTGGGGTTAGGGGACTTTAGAAAATTCAAAAAAAATGGAAAGATAATGGAATTTTTCCATGGACTTTTTGAAGTCCCTTTGTATATGATATCCTTTTTCATTTCTTCAAATAGATTTTTTTTTTTTAAAGACTCCTATTATGATTTCTACCCTAGCTCTCTTTAAATTATTATTTGCACTGGGTATTTTCCCCATCCTTTCATTTTCAACCTATTTGTGCCCTTGGGTCTAAGATGTTGTTAAGTGCCGTTGAGTCGGTTCCAGCTCATAGCAACCCTGTATAGGGTTTCCGAGGAGCAGCTGGTGAGTTTGAACCGCTGACTTTGCAGTTCAAACCGACCTTGTGGTCCAGTGCTTATCCTACAGCGTCACACCAATCTCTTGTAAATAATATGGAGGTGAATCTTGTTTTGTTTTTATCCATTCTGCCACTCTCTGCCTTCTTATTGGGGCATTTATTCCTTTGACAATCAATGTAATTACTGTTAAGAAAGGGCTTACGTCTCTCATTTTGTGATTATTTTTGTGTGTGTCTTAAGCCTTTATCTTTCCTTTACCACTTCTTGCTTTTGTGTTTTGCTTTATTGTAGAGAGCCCTTTGATTCCCTTCTTTCCTTTTGTGTTTTTAAAATATTTTCTTAGAGGTTACCATGAATATTACATTTAGCAGTTTGTATTTGTAGCATCCTGGGGTAAGTGGGTGCCAGCTTAGCCTCGGTAAAATATACCGTACCTCTCTGTCCCCATTTTGTTGTTCTCCCTTTTGTATTTGATCTGCCTTCCAACACAGTTTTAGCCTTGCTTCTTATAAACCTGTCTGTCATTGAAAAGAATGAAGGACAAAACAAGTAGAATTATTAAAACATGAACACCTTATTGTTGATGTTAAGTGCCTTTGAGTCAGTTCTGACTCAGCGACCCTGTAAAGGTTTCTGATGAGCGACTAATGGGTTTCAAACGGATTTTGCAGTCCAATGCTTATCCTACAGCACTACACCAGGGCTCCTGAATACCTTATTACTAGCATTTAACCACAAGGTCGGTGCTTCAAACTCACTAGCTGCTCCTTGGAAACCTCATACAGGGTCGCTGTGAGTTGGAACTGACTTGAAGGCACTTAACAATGACAACGACAACATTTGTCCATGCAGTTCCCTTTATTAGGGATCTTTTGTTTTATGTATGGCTTTGAATTACTTTATTCCATCTTTTCCCTTCCATCTGCAGAGCTCCTGTTAGTCATTTTGTGAGGCTGGTCTGGTGGATTGACCTGTCTCAGCTTCTGTTTATCTGCCAGTGTTTTCATTTTACCCTCATTCTTGAAGGACAGATTCTGCTGGGTATGGGATTCTTGGAAAACAGTTTTTTTTTCTCCTTGTTTCACTTTTTGAGGAACTGCCAGACTGTTCCCCGCACCAGCTGGACCAGTTTACGTTCTCTCAGATACGTATGTTATTAAGTGTCATCGAGTTGGTTCTGACTCATAGTGACCCTGTATAGGGTTTCCCAGGAGAAGCTGGTGGGTTTGAACCACCGACCTTGTGGTTCGCAGGGCAGTGCTGATCCTAATGCACCACCCCAGGAGTACCAGACGTGGATGAGGGTTCCATTGTCTTCACATCCTTGCCAAGACTCGTTATTTTCCCTTCTGTAGATTACAGCAGTCTTTAAACAGTTTTTTAAAAAAATGTTAATTATCTTCTTGAACTTGAAGTTTTTGTTCTGCCATAAACTGTCCTATAAAAGAGGACAGTTCCAACAAAAACCATGTAGTGTTTTCCAGACCCCCGACTGAATCGGTTTCTGTGTTTTGGTGTTTGCCAGGCACCCCAGGAATAGGAACTACAAAGCTGAATTTGCGTCATGTCGATTGGAGGTGGTGCCACTGGAGTTTGGGGACTACCACCCACTGAAACCCATAACTGTAAGTTTTGTCAAGAATCTCTCTAAGTGATATCCTTATTCCATAAAATTAGACAGTATGCCTGGACCTTTTCTGGTTTTCCATCTTTGAATATTTTTGCATATTTGAGTGAACCAACACTTTCCCTCTTTTTGATATGGCTGTTTACTTCCTGCTTCTTCATATTAGTGAATTGTCAGGAGTATGGCACAGCTTTGTTTCTGAATTGGATGTTTGAGCAAAATATATCTTGCTTCTTAATTTGCCTATTTGGAATATTAAGGATCACTTTAATTACCATTAGGGTGTGACACAAAATAACATCTTAAGACTATCAGTAAATTCCTTTAAATAAAAATGCACACACAAAAAACATAAAACAGGCAGGAGATGTGCTATTTATAGTTTCTGTTGATTCGGTTCCCGGCTCATGGTAACCCCGTATACAATGAGATCAGACCCTGGTAAGCTATGGGGTTTTCGCTTCTTAAAACTTGTATTTATATTATTATATATTCCTGAGTGTGTTTGTGTGCATCTCCCCGTGCTCTCCCCCAAAGCAACAACAACAACAAAAAACCCCAGAGGGAATGGAAGCAAATACTGTTGAATGGTGATGCCCAGAGGAGACTGTAGTCATACAATGAAATGGTGTAAAGCCAATGTTCTCCTATGTAAACTATCACTCAGTTCACAATAAAAAAACAAACTAACAAACAAAAAAACCTTGTATTTATTTTGCTGTTGTTGAAAGCATACAACTCAACAGTGTCTACATGAGCAGGTTAGTGACACGGATGAGTCTTTGACTTGTGTGTCCATTCTTACCCTAAGCTCACTGTCCCCTAAGGTCCTTAATCTAATCTTCTGAGTTGCTGTTGTCCAGTGGGTTCCTTATAGGTAGTTCTTAAAAGGGCGTGATGTACTAATTACAGTTGTCACAACTGTACAGGCAGAAGTTTTGTAATATAAAGTGGGGAGTAGTTAATCTTACAGTCCAGGAACAGAGGACCCTAAGACCATCAAGGGAGAAGAGCACGAACAGAATGTGGGACCCTATCCAGAGAAGCAGCCGCACCAGAGATGGAGACAGAGATGAGGACATAGAGAGAGGGAGCAGCTGAGGACTCTAGACTCATGGAAAGAGAAAGGCTGTGTGCTGGCGGCCGGGGACGGGCTTGCAGAATGTGCCCTGTGGTTGTTTAAATGATTATATATTCCTGAGTGTTTTTGTGGACATCAAAAAAACAGGGGGGATAGAAGCAAATACTTTTGATGCATGGAGGGGATTGTAATCATTGCAATGAAACAAAATACAGTAGGATGAGTTTAAAACCGATGTTCTCCCATGGAAACTATCACTCAATTCACAATAAAAGCTTTTTTTTTTTTTTTTTTTTTTAAAAAGGCATGATGCTCAAGGCAAACCTCTTTTACTAGTTAAGCAAAACTCTTACTCTGTTTTAAGACTTCAGGAGATATTTTTGGTTGAAGGTTTAAAGGTTATCTCAGAGCTAAAGTATCAGGGGTACATCCATCTTCCATGGCTTCAGAAAGTTTAGCGGTCATGAGAATTTGAAATTCTGTTCTGCATTCCCCACTCCCTCCCATTTTAATTAGGGTTCTTGTATGGAATCTTTGATCAAAATGTTCAGTAATGGTAAGCAGGCACCACACCAGTTTTGGTCTCATGACTAAGAGGAAGTTATTCATAGAGGCAGTTAGCCACACAGTCCATCTCCTCCTTCTATTCCTGACTTGTCTTCTGAGTCTCTTCTTCTTCCAAGTCTGTCTTCATCTGGAAGCTCAGGTGAAACCTGTCCACATGGGTGACCCTGCTGGCATTTAAAATATCGGTGGCATAGCTTCCAGCATCACAGCAACACACAAGCCACACAGCCTTCGGGATGGGTTGCACCTCAATGTATAGAAAATAGAAATCCTCACCACTGTACCAGTAAAGAACATCATGATAAATGGAGAGAAGACTGAAGATGTCAAAGATGTCATTTTGCTTGGATCCACCATCCACTATCATGTAAGCAGCAGTCAGAAATCAAAGAATGTATTGCTTTCATCAAATCTACTGCACAAGGCCTCTTTAAAGTGTTCAAGGGCAAAGATTGAGGATTTAAGGTGTGCCCGACCCAAGCCATGGTATTTTCAATAGCCTCATATGCATGTGAAAGTTGGACAGTGAATAAGAAAGACCATAGAAGAACTGATGTAATGAAGAATTTAAGGGTACCATGGACTGCTAGAAGAACAAACTATTCTGTGTTGGAAGAAGTACAGGCAGAGTGCTCCTTAGAAAACAGGATGGCCAGATTTCATCTTTTATACTGGATATGTTGTCAGGATGGACCAGTCCCTGGAGAAAGACATCATGCTTGGTAAAGTAGAGGGTCAACGAAAAAGAGGGAGACCCCCAACAAGATGGATTGATTCAGTAGCAGTAATTGTGAAGATGTGGCAGGACTGGGTGGTGTTCCGTCCTGTTGTTTACAATTTTGCTATGGGAAGAAACTGACTCAGTGGAACCTGACAACAACAACAACATTCCTGACTCTCCTTCCTCCCTTTGCTCCAGGTGGTTAGAAATCAATTGTTGTGCCTTGGATGGTGGCTTGCAAGCTTTTAAGACCCTCAGCACTATGTGTTATATATACTAGGAGATAGAAGAGAGCACTGAACAGGCTACTTGTACATAAGCAGCCTCAGCAGCTATTCTTTTGTTGTTGTAAATGTGTCTACCACACAACTTTTGCCAGTTTAATTTTTTACAGGTGTAAAACTTACTGATGGCAAGTACGGTAATCAGCCATGCAACCCTAGCGTTAATCAGTACAATTTTCCATTACCATTAACTCCTCTTTTCCCTTTCCTTCCTGCCCTGGTAACCACTAACTTTGGCCTATGTATTTGCCTTTAATTGTCTTTTTATATAAGAGCCTTGGTAACAGCATTGTGTTCGGCATTGGGCTGTTAACCCCAAGGTCAGCAGTTCAAACCAACCAGACTTTCCATGGAAGAAAGATGAGGCTGTTTGCTCCAACAAAGATCTAGTCTTGGAAACCCTAGATAGGATCTCTTTGCGTTGGAATTGACTCGATGGCAGTGGGTAGATCATTTTATCTTAGAGATTTGTTGTTGTTGTTAGATGCTGTCGAGTTGCTTTCCACTCATAGTGACCCTGTGTGCAACAACAAGACCTTGTCTGGTCCTGCACCATCCTCACAGTTGTTCTGTGTGAGCCCATTGCTGCTGCCACTGTGTCAGTCTATCTCTTGTGGGGGTCTTCCTCTTTTTCCTTGACCCTCCACTTTACCAAGCATGATAGCCTTCTCCAGGGGTTGATCCTTCCTGACAACATGTCCAAAAAGATGAAATCATGCCATCCTTGCTTCCAAGGAGTTGGCTGACTGTACTTCTTCCATAACAGATGTATTTGTTCTCCTAGCAGTCCATGGTACTTTCACTATTCTTGGCAACACTATAATTCAAGTGCATCGATTCTTCTTTGGACTTTCTAATTCATTGTCCAGCTTTCACCTGGACGTGAGGCATTTGATGATGCTGTACAATATTTGTCCCTTTGTGGTTGGCTTATTTCACTTAGCACAGTGTCTTGAGACACCATGTACACTGTAGTATGTATCGAGGGTTTATTTCTTCCACTGGCTGAGTAGCATTTTACTGTCTGCATGTACCATACTTGGTTTGGCCATTCATCTGTCAATGAGCATCTAGGTTGTTGTCCCCTTTTGGCCATTGTGAGCAGCGCTGCAGTGAACATTGCTGAACACCTCACTCTTTAATTCTGTCCTTTTAAGCCCCTTGGGAATATAACTAGGAGTGGAATTTCTGGGTCTGTGGTAGTTCTGGTAGCGTTGTTGTTGTTGTTGTCAGGTGCCATCGAGTCGGAACCGACTCATAGCGACCCCATGCACAGCAGAACGAAACAATGTCCGATCCTGGGCCAACCTCTCTACCGCCGCCACACTTGATGCCATCAATGATGCCACCTGGCTGATCCATCTCGTTGGGGGTCTTCCTCTTTTTATCTGATCTTCCACCTTACCCAGCATGACATCCTTCTCCAGAGACTGTTCTCTCCGGACAATGTGTCCAAAGTAGGAGAGATGAAGCTTAGCCATCTTGGCCTCCAAGGAGCACTCTGGTTGCACGTCTTCCAAAACAGATCTATTGGTTCTTTTGGCAGTCCATGGCACTATCAGTATTCTCCTCCAACACCACAACTCAAAGGCATCAATTCTTCTACGATCTTCATGAAATGGGCAAAGGCTTGAACAAAGACACTTCACGAACAAGGACATTTAAATGGCCACTAAACGCATGAAATGACTCTCAGCGTCATGAGTCACCAGAGAGACGGAAATCAAAAGCCCAGTGAGGTACCACTTCACTCCCGCTAAGATGGACAAGAATAAAAAAAAAAGAAGAAGAAATAAAATAACAAATGTTGGTGAGCATATTGGGAAAACAGAATCCTTATACATTGCTGGTGGAAATGCAAAATGGCACAGGCTAAGTAGAAAGCAGTGTGTTGGTTCCTCAAAAGCTAGAACTAGAACTATCATGGTGGTGATGGTGGTGATGTGCCGTGGAGTTGGTTCTGACTCATAGCAACGCTGCACAGGGTTTCCGAGGCTGTAAATCTTCACGGGAGCTGAACGCCTCATCTTTCTCCTGTGGAACAGCTGGTAGTTTCGAACTGCTTTTTCTTGAGGTTAGCAGCCCGACTCGTAATCACTACACTACCAGAGTTCCCTATCTTGAATTTAGAGACCAGATCAAGAAAAGATTTGACTTCTTAAACACAATGCCCAAAGACTAGATGAGTTGTAAGAAGACATCAAGCATGAAAAAAGTGAAAACGCAAACCTATCATCGGGTCATTCTGACTCTTAGCGACACAGTGGATGGAGTAGAACTGGCCTGTAGGGTTTCTGAGAGACAAGAAAGAAAAAAAGACCAAAGTGCATGTCAGAAGAGACTCTGAAACATGCTCTTGAATGTAGAGTAGCTAAAGTGAATAAAAGAAATGATGAAATAAAAGAGCTGAACAGAAGATTTCAGCTTCTCCAGGCAGAAGACACAATGCAGTCACACAATGATCAATAAGTACAACGGCTTGAATTTAGAAAACCAAAAGGGAAGAACATGCTCAGCATTTCTCAAGCTGAAAGAACCAAAGAAAGCATTCAGTCCTTGAGCCATAGTATTGAAAACTTTTATGGCAAAATGTTGAAAGAAAGATGCAGAAAGTATTAAAGGAAGGTGGAAGGGATGTCCAAACTCCCTGCGCGAAAAAGAATTGGTCAATGTTGAGCCATTTTAGGAGATAACATATGATCAAGAACCAATGGTATTTAAGCTGCACTGAAGGAGTTGGTGGGAATAAAAGGCCCCAGGAATTGACAGAATACCAAGAGTTAGTTTTCAACAATGAATGCAGCACTGGAAATGCTTACGCCTCCATGCCAAGAAATTTGGAAGACAGATTATCTGGCCAGCCGACTGGAAGAGACCCATGTTTGTGCCCATTCTAAATAAAGGTGATTCAACACACTGTGGAAATACATGAACGATATCATTAATAATGTACACAAGTACAGTTTTGCTGAAGATAACTAAAAAACAGTTGCAGCAGTACATTGATAGGGAGCTGCCAGAAATTCAAGCTGGATACAAAAAGGGACGTGGAACAAGCGCTATCACTGCTGATGTCAGATGGATCTTGGCTGGAAGGAAGCAGAGAATACCAGAAAGGTGTTGACCTGTGCTTTATTGAGGAACTACTACACTGTTGACTATGCAAAGGCATTTGACTCTGTGGATCCTAAAAATTATGGGTAGCATTGTGAAGAATGGGGATTTCAAAACAGTTCATTGTGTTCATGAGGAACTTCTGTGTAGACCAAGAGGCAGTCATTTGAACAGAAAAAGAAGATACTAGTTATAAATTAGGAAAGATGTGCATTGGGGTTGTATCCTTTCACCATATTTATTCAATCTGTATGCTGATCAAATAATCTGATAATCTGGATTATATGAAGATAAACACAGCACTAGGATTGGGAAAGCCTCAAGAACAGCCTGTGATTTGCAGATGACATTAACTTGCTATCTCAAAGCTAAGAGAATTGTAAGCGCTTACTGATGAAGATCAAAGACTGTGTTCTCCAGTATAGATTACACGCTAACATAAAGAAAACAAAAATGCTAGTAAATGGTCCAGTAAGCAACATTATAATATTGCATTTTCAATACTCATGATAGTTGTTGTTGTTGTTATGTGCCATTGAGTCGGTACCGACTCATAGAGACGCTGTGCATAACGGAATGAAACACTGTTCGATCAAATCAAATGATGTATTGTATCAGGCAAATGTACAAAAGACCTCTTAAAATTGTTAAAAAGCGAAGATGTCACTTTGAGAATTAAGGTGTACCTGATCTAAATCATGATGTTTTCATGCAGATGCCACATTATGATGCAAAAGTTAGACAATAAGAAAGCCTGAAGAAGGATTGGTTTCTTTGAATTATGGTGCTGGGGAGGAATGTACCATGGACTTAACCAAGAATTAACAAATCTGTGTAGGAAGAAGCACAGCTAGTATGTTCTTTGAAGTGACAATGGTGAGACTTTGTCTCATGTATTTTGAACATGGTTTCTGGAGGGATTACTCCCTGGAGAAAAGACTTGGTAAAGTAGAGGTTTTAGAAAAAGAGGAAGCTCCTCAATGAAGCTCAGGGGTTCACTTGTGGTCCAGCCACTTGCAGTTGGGTAGGATTGGGTGCTAGTGGTACACACACGGCACCCTCTCTCCCACCACATACAGTGGAAGTGGTAGTGGTGGGAGGTCTCCCACAAAGGAAGGACCTGGGCATTCCTGCTCTGTGGAGATGTGGTGGCTGCAGGCCACTGAGGCTGTCTTCAGAGTCCATCCTCACCCTGGTGACTTTGAGTTCCCTGGCTCGTTGCCCTGCTATACCACTGCTTCCAAAGGGATCTCCTGATGATGATGATAAGGGGAGATTGAGAGTCCACATTTGCGACCCTCTCCCAGGTCACACTGCTTGTTTGGTGAGCACACTCTGAGCAGCAAGGCCTTACAAGAAGGCAGTGACAGCACCTTCTTCACTATGAGAAGGACCCAGACTCTTCTCTCCCAACACGAGCTTTCTACCTTCTGTCCTCAACAACTGTGATTCTGAGTCATGGCCGTTTTGTCACAAAAGTAGACATCCCAGGAAGACTGATTAGAAAGACTCTTCTGCAAATAAGCGGTCTCTTAAACCATCAGCGAGGCCAGAACCCATCGGCGTATCGTCTTAGGGAAGGAAGTATGGGCTTTCTAGTTTATGTTTTCAAATTCTCCCCACAGGTCACAGAATCAAAGACCAAGAAAGTGAACCGGAAAGGAAGCACGTCTTCCACTTCCTCGTCTTCCTCCAGCTCCCTGGTGGACCCTCTGAGCAGCGTCCTCGATGGCACCGACCCCCTCTCCGTGTTCGCAGCCACTGCCGACAGCACAACCACTGCAGCTGCAATGACGGTCAGTACTGAGGAGTCAGGGCAGTGATGGGTGTTTGTATTTTAAGTGGGTGTGTTGAGGTTATAACAGTTCCTAGACCCAGATGTCCAGGGGGTGGATGCTGTCAGGGGGAGGCTGGGGCCGAGTCTGGGAGTTCCTTCCTTCCTCTCCCTGTCTTTCTGCCTTTTAAAATGTACTCTTTATTTTAACTTTATTCTTTTTATAATTCTGTCTTTGAGATATTTTTATCATACACTTAACATAAGTAATTTACTAATTTTCTATGGAAAGAGTCAAGCACGACAGATAGAACCGGGTTGACCAGTTTCTCCTGCCAACCCCCACCTTGGACGTGATCAGTGATGTCAGTATAATGTCTGTTCGCTCAGTCCCTTTTCTTAGTGTTTTCAGAGATATTTATGACTGACGCTCCTGAATACTCACATACATAGTAAACCTATTGCATCAAGTCAATTTCAACTCAGAGACCATACAGGCTAGCATAGTACTGCCCTTAAGGTTTCCAAGGCTGTTAATGTTGATGGAAGCAGACTGCCACATCTTTCTCCCAAGGACTGGCTGGCTGGTGGGTTCAAACCACCGACCTTTTGGTTAGCAGCCAAGCACTTAGCCACTACTCTACCAGGATTCAAAAAGGTCAGTCAGAAAGTATCGCTATAAAACCATAGACACCTTTATTGAACAAAAATATCAAAATGTGAAGTTCTTGTTTCTCATTATATCCTCCATCTAGTTCTATGTTCTTCTGAAGGTGGTGTTTCCATCTCTCTAACCCTTGCCAAAGAGTTCTGCACTCTTCAGTTTTTACCATGTCAAAGCAGCAATTTGGGCACCCTTCAAGGACTCAAATTGTGTTCCTTTAAGATGTTTGTTGAGTTTTGGGAACAACAAAGAAGTCTGAAGGGGCAGGAATAGGACTTTAGGGAGATGGAGTAAGGTTTCCCAATGAAATTCTCAGAGGGAGGCCCTTGTTACCATCAAAGAATGAGCAGGTGCATTGTGGTAATCGAAAAAAATCCTCAGCACCACTTTCCTGGCCTTTTTCTCACCAGTGCCTTTATCAGTGTTATTAAAACTTCTTCCTAATAATCCTTTGTGATAGTCCTATATCCTTAGAGAAAATCTATCAAGGTTACCCTTTTGAAGTCCCCAAAATCAGTCACCATAACCTTCTTGGCTAACCTCTGCCTTTGGTCCAGCAGATCCCCTGGGAAGCCACTGTTTTGATTGCACCATTTTTTAAAGTCACCTTAACAAGACTAAGACTAAGTGCTGTTTGGTTTCTTTCTTTTTTTCAAATCATTGAGAGAACTTGTTTGTAGCCAGCCACTGCTTGCAGAGACATTTAAAGATGTTTTGTTTAGAGTAAACCTGTGCATGCATGAACTGGAACCCTAGTGGCAGTACTTCTTAGCTTACCCTCCTACATAGTAGTCAGTATGTTGTTGTGTGCTTGTTAAGTGTCTTTGAGTTGCTTCTGACTCATATCAACTCTGTATAGGGTTTTTGAAGAGCAGCTGGTAAGTTTGAACTGCTAACCTTACGGTTAACAGTCCAGTGCTTACCCTATAGTGCCATACCAGTCCTGCTAGCTATATTAATAATAACAATAATAACAATAATATCGGCTCCTGTGTGGTCGGTAGTTTTTCTTTGTGTTTCCATATTTGGCTCTCAGGTGACCTCATGAGATGTTAATTCACATTTTTTGAAGCAGATCGCTAGGACTGTCTTTTGAGGCACCCCTGGGTGGGTTGGAACCGCAGATCTAGGTGATTGATCTGTTTTATGTTTACTTTCATAGTGAGGGGACTTGTCTGCCTTCTGCTTATGTTTTGTCTTAAAAAATAATACAATTATTTTGCTGCTGAAGAGATTGCCTTTCCTTTCTTTAGGACGGCTCCAGGAAGAAACGTGACAGAGATGATCACTCCACTGTCGGGTCAGACTTTGAGCCGTGGTCCAGCAAACGGGGTGAGATCCTCACGCGGTACACCACCACCGAGAAGCTTTCCATGGTGAGTACCAGCACCTTTCTTCCGCACTTTTTGCCTGTTCAACTTTTTAGAGCTAGATTGCTTTGGGTAGTATTGACATCTTAACAATATTAGGTCTTCTTGTCACTAAAGAGATGAACATGACATATCTTTTGATTGATAGCAATTACAGTAATCGGTTGTGCAACCCTATTCTTAGTCAATGAGAGTTTTCCATCACCATTAATCCCCCTTTCGTGCTCCCTCCCATCCCTGGCTGGCAGCCACGAATAAACTTTGGTCTCTGCATTTACCTTTTCTTACCTTCTACATAATTGAGGTCATACAATATTTGTCCTTCTGTGCTTGGCTGGTTTTGCTCAGCATAGTGTCTTCAAGCTCCATCCATCATGTGTCCGGTATCATGGCTTCATCTCTCCTACTGTATGTATGGACCACAATGGTTTTATCTATTCATCTGTTGATGGGCTCTTAGGTTGTTTCCAATTTTGCAACAATGTTTGTTGAAGAGATTCTTCTTTCCCCGTTGAATGGATTTAGCACCCTTGTCAAAAATCAGTTGACCATAGATGTATTATGGGCTTATTTTGGGGCTCTCAATAATTGTACTCCTTCATTCGGCATTCCAATTGTTACCCCTTACCAGGCTGCACTGCCGGCTGTAGCTGTATGATATGTTTTAAAATTAGGACATGTGAGCCCACCTACTGTGTTCTTCTCTTTTAAGATTGCTTAGCTGTTTGAGACCTCTTGCCATTCCATATGAAGTTGATGATTATTTTTTCTGTTTCTATAAAGAAAGCTGGGATTTGATCGAGATTGTATTGAATGTGTTGATTATTTGGGGTACTTTTACCATCAAGACAGTATATTGAGATTTAAATCAATGAACATGGAGCATATTTTTTCCATTTACTTAAGGTTCTTTCATCTTTTTCATCAGTGCTTTATTGTCTGAATCCTCCATGTCTCTGGTTAGATTTATGCCCAGATTTTTCTTTTCCCTTCGATGCTATTGCAAATGGAATTGTTTCCCTAGTCTCCCTTTCAGATTTCCCATCGCTGGTGTATGTTTGATAACTTTGTACTCTGAAACTATGCTAATAAATTACTCTATTAGCTCTAAGCTGATTGATTTCTTGAAAACTGTTAGGAATGAGGATGTGGCATAGTTCAGAGAAAGAACTGTAACAGTGGACTGCCGTCTTTAGGAGATGTTTGAACTGTGATGTGATGCCACTGAACAGAACATCAGGCAGAATCTCTGGGTTATTTACACTACAAAATAATTTCTTATATTATTTTGGTGATAATGTTGAGAGTATACACAGCAAATAAGGCGCCAATTCAAGTTTCTACATACACAATTCCGTGACATTGACTACGTTCTTCAAAGTTGTGTAATCATTCTTGCCCTTTATTTCTGAGTTGTCCCTTCCTTATTAGCATAAACTCACTGCTCCCTAAGGTTTCTGTTGAATATTTTGAGTTGTTTTTGTCCCTTGGCTCCTTATAGATAGATCTTAAAAGGGCATAAGGCCCAAGGCAGGTTACAGTTTCTTTCCTGAGTGCATAGAGCTATTACATAGAAGAGTGATTTTCAACTGGGAGTGATTTTGCCCCTCAGGGGACATTTAACACTGTCTGGAGACATTTTTGGCTGTTAAAACTGGGGAGGTGGTTGGTGCCACTGGCATTTAGTGGGCAGGGGCCTGGGGTACTGCCACGTGTCCTGCATGCCCAGGGCAGCCTTCACAGCAACATTTACTCGGTCTCACCTGTTCACAGTGACCACAGTGAGAAACGCTGCTTTACAGTCTCCTACATGATTTTGTCATGTGATCCCACTGGCCACAGCCAGTGTTTCATTATCTAGGGATAGCTCTAGGGAGAGCCCCAAATTGAGTATAAATTTGAACCTCTAATAGTCTTGTGACCTGTATTTTCCTATGCGTATATAATTCGATCTTTCGTAAGTAAATGGCTTGGGTGGAAAATTATGGGCCACTTTGCCTTAGTTGGATAATAATTTAAGTATTTTATCAAGTTTTTAAAATCATAAAATCAAATAAGATAAAAAAATATTAATGGATTTTATGTCTTGGCAGAATCTGTTCATGGGATCTGAAAAAGGTAAGTTGGCTTTTTTTGTTTTGTTCTGATGAAAGAATTCCTTCCTTCATCACCTTTAATATAATTTTACACAAGAAAAAAAAAGTTTGTTGTTTGCATGCAATGGAACGCTTTCATATGGCTTTTTCTGGCCCTGATCTTGTAATTCCAAATTGTTGGGGAGGACTTGTCTGAAAAGATGCTTATGGCCCATTGAGGGATTTGGACAGCTTGCTAAGACACATGAGGTACATGGATCCCCTGTGGGAATGGGGGCATGTGAACAAGGTATATGGAACCCTAACAAGGGGATTGGTTCATTTTGCCATCCCACTAGGCTTAGAAGGAGCCATCCCAGAGACAGAAAGGAGGGCCTCCCCACCACCATGAGAGGCAAACCAGGAGTGGAGCATGTCCTTTGGAGCCAGGGTCCCTGTGCTGAGAACCTCCTAGACTGAGAAGACAGAGAAACAGTTTCTAACCCTAGAGACAGAGCAAGATGGCAAGAAACCATGGCAAAACCAGACCTCCTCTGACATTGAGGAGAGGTAGTCAGGAGACAGGCATGAGGTAGTTTGGTGGGCCCGTGGAGCAAGGCAGTTATGGTGTACCGATACACAAATTGAAAAAGTTGACCCCTAGTGAGGCGCTGTTGGATCAGCACTGGACTGTGAGCCATGGGGTCTGCAGTTCACAGCCACCAGCAGCTCCTTGGAAACCTGTACTGGGTTACTGTGAATCAGAGAATGAAAATATCTATTCAGAGAATGAAAATATCTATTCAGAGAATGAATGACAAAAAGATCAAAGGGGTTGCTAGGAGTAAAACTTAAACCTAGTACCTCCTGCACCAGCCAGGTAGCAGCTGAGTTCCCCTCTGGAGATCACATGTGTTGGTGATGGGGTCACACACTCAGTCTTACAAGCTACTGGTCCCTGTACTCGGCCGACAGTGGAAAGCCCTGGTCTATGTCGCTCAGACTGGCTGTGCGGTAGGGTCACCTGATGAACTTCTATATAGATTTAGACGACTGTTGTCGTGTTGAACCAATCTTGAATGAGGAGCCCCAGGAATTCTTTTCAGGATGCTCCCAGGCCATCCTGAAGCCAGTGACAAGTGGCAGCTGCATCTCTCGTCCTTCTTGGCAGGCTGAGACAGTGTATTAGAAATCAATGGCCTGGAAGCAGCCTTAAGGGCACAAAACCATAAACCATACTTGTCATATCCACCAGTTTGGAAAGATCAAAGAGACCCATCATACCAAGTGTTGGTACGACCGTGTCGCAGCAGGAACTCGCAGGTTCTGTTGGCGGAGGCGTAAAAGACTCAGTCACTTTGTGAAACCGTTCTGCAGGATTTCTGAGATTGAGGAGGGACCAGCAGTTTCACTTGTAGGCTATCCTACCATAGGTCAGGGCTTGGCCAACTGTGTCCCCCGCCAAGTCTGACTGTGGTCTGTTCCTGTAAATAATGTTGATTGGAACACAGTCACGCTTGTTTGCTTACATACGTTGGTGACTGCTTTCACGGTCCACTGGCAGAGTTGAATTGCTGTGAGACTGCAAAGCCTAAGGTTTTTTCTGTCTTTCCCTGGAGGAGACATTTGCCAGCCTGCACTAGGTCACTAAAGTATGGTTGAAGGACCAGCAACCCGACATCACTTGTTAAGTGCCATCAAGTCTTTCCGACCCATAGTGACCCTGTCTAGGGTTTCCGAGGAGTGCCTGGTGAGTTCGAACTGCCAACCTTGTGGTCCAGTGCTTATCCCACAGTGCCACTCCAGGTTATCACCTGAGAGCTTGTTAAAATACAGACTCCCAAGCCTCACCTGAGACCTGCAGAAACTGAGTCTGCACTGCGACACGTCCTTAAGGTGTTCGTGTAAAAGTTTCGGAAGCACAGCCCTGGAGATATTCTGCTCATGTGAACAAGAGGCATGAACATACTGTCCACAGCAGCATTGTTCCTAATAGCTCCAAATAGGAAATCACCCAAACGTCCGTCAACAGTTGTTGTTGTTATTGAGCGCTGTCAAGAAGGTTCAGACTCATAGCGACCCTGTGTAGGGTTTCCAAGGAGCGACTGGTGAGCTTGAACAGCCGACCTTATGGTTCAAACTGACCTTGCAGTCCAGTGCATTAACCCGCAGTGCCACACCAGGTCTCTGTTGACAGTAGAACGGAGAAATTCATTGTGGTGTAGTCTGACTGTGGAAAACACTCAACACCAGTCGGTGAGCTGCAGCCACATGAGTGAAAGAAGCAAGGTGAGAGGTATGACTTGGTGGTAATTGCAAAGTTATTTTCCAATTCTTTGTCCATGTGTAAATGAGAGTACAATTTCTATGTATGTGCTAGATTTCAAAATCAGGGGCAAAGTAAAACAAGGTGGACAAGGTTAATTATTTGACAAGTTCATTATTTTACAGTTATAGGTAATTGTTTGCAAGGCAAAATGTTCTCAGCTGCTCACAGAAGTCTGTGGTAGAGAGGAAAGAGGGGTCCTCAGAACTAGAGCAGAACTCACTGTGAGATGGGGAAAGTGCTCTGACATAGGAGGGCCCCACTAGGAGCCCTGATGATACAATGGCTAAGTTCTTGGCTGCTAACTGAAACGTCGGTGGTTCAAACCCAGCTGCTCCGTAGGAGAACGATGGGGACGGGGTAGGGCTGGGGGTGGTCTACTTCCATAAGGACTTACAGCCTTGGAAACCCCATATGGAACAGTTCTATGCTGCCCCATGGGGTCTGTAAGAGTCAACTCGACAACAGTAAGTTTTTTGGTTGGAGGGCAGCAGCCAGCTGGACAGATCGTCGTGGCTTTCGCTGGCCCCATGGCCAGGAGTCCTTTCCTTCATTCCTGTCTGCCAGTCCCTGCTGATGGGTGGGCAGGATTGTGCTGACAGGTGCAAGAAGGTGGCATAGCTGAGCCTGTTTGCTCCAGGAAGCGACTTTGAAGCCCTAGTGTTTCCACGTCTGGGCAGACAGTCAGATCACTGTTTGGTTTGTGGAAGAGCACCATTCCGTTCTGTGAGTGTCTGCGTGAGACGGCCTTTTGTTCATGGAAAACAAGGAAATGACTGCTTTTTGGCATCCTGATCTGGGCCACCTTTCTCTACAAATAACTGATACAGTGAGAAGTTTATGAATACTGAACCTTTCTGAGACTGGCCATTGTGCTCTGGGGGGAGCTCCCAAGTGGAACTCCTATGGAACTCTGGTTCCTACCCTGTTATTCACTGTTCTCAAGCCCATTTTGACTCACAGAGACCGTCTAGGACGGACTAGGACTGCGCCATAGGGTTTCCATGGTGTAAATCTGTAAAGATGCAGAAAGCTTTATCTTTCTTCTGAGGAGCAGCCAGTGGATTTGAACCACCCACCTTTTGGTTAGCAGGCCAGTGCTTAACCCATGACACCACCAGGGCTCCTGGAAATTTGGAAATTCCAAATTATATCTGGAAATTACTTTCCAAACCTCACTGTTGTTAGTAGTGAAATTCGTTTCCTGATAATTGCATCCATGAAGAGTGGAAGCAGGCCGCCCACCAGGGGTGAGGGGGAGCGATAGAGGGGAACCCCTGGGTGACGGGAATCCGTTCTTTTCAGGCAAAGCCGGGACCACCACCTCTGCAATGTCGGAGAAGGTCCGGACCAGGCTGGAGGAGCTGGATGACTTTGAGGAGGTGAGTATGTCTGTGGTGGACCGGGAAGTACAGGGAGGAGCCGGGCTTTCTCGTCTGCTGCCACGGGAACTGATTTCAGTGGCTGCTCTCAGATGATGCCCACTGATGCCCACGCTGCTCTGAGGAGGCCACACTGTGCTTGCTCCTCCCGAACCTCCGACTCACGCCAGGGAAAGGGGTCAGCAGTGCAGTTGGACAAAGCGCCTTTTCTCATTGTGATGCCTGAGCAAAGTCGGGTCAGCCAGGGAGGGCGCCTAGAGGGTGAAGCTGCTGAAGCCATCTCACTGGGGAGGCTGAAGATCCTACCATGCACCAAAGGTCACACCAAGCCACTCTGCTGCCTGAGTGACGGTCATCACAATTTTTTCATTGATCTCCATGTACTTTTTAAAGATGTGTTAGCAAACGCTAAACTTAATATGCACATCTGGCATTCTGGCTTCCCTAGAAAAAATGTGAGCGGAGAAGCCTTGGCCCACATTCTTACACTTCCCTAGGACACATGTGGTCCTCCCTGCCCTGCTCACTCACGGTCATTACTAACTGGCTGCTGAGGATGCTGAGTCATCCCTCCTGAATATCACCTAGAGAGGCAGCACAGCATGCTGGGTAAGAGCAAAACTCTAGGACCATACAGCCTGGATTTGAATCCCAGCTTTCCCTGGGGGTGATTCGGAGATTTTGGGCACAAAGTGTTTGACCACTCTGTGCCTGTTGATGTATCTGTAAACTGGGGATGGTCCATAGTAGCTGTCTCATCGTTTCTTCCAGGGATTGAATGAGTTATTATGAATAAGCATTATGAAATGCTTCGAACAGCATGTGGTATGTGTTCCGCATGTCTGAGTTGTCACCATCATTGTCCTGAGTCTGGAGACCTTAGCTCGACCACTCGCTAACAGAGGGGCCCTGGACACTGGCCTATTTCCTATGTGGCCCTGTAGGACCAGCAATGTGAAACACAAGGTTGGCAGTTCAAATCCACCAGCCGTTCCTCGGAAACTCATTGGAAACCCTAGACAGGATCCCTATGAATTGGAACCAACTCAGTGGCACTTAACAACAACAACAAAATGTGGGATGAGGAATCCTGGTGTGGCAGGATAGGATAAGCACTGGATTGCTAACCTCAGCAAGGTGGCAGTTCAAACCCACCAACTGTTCCTTGGAAACCTTATACAGGGCTATGAGTCATAATTGACTTGACGGCGCTGAACAATACCAGCGTGAAGTGAAGATTCACTGTGGGGAGTAAAAGAGGGGGCTCTGGGAAACCACAGTGGTGGTGGTTGCCACAGCTCTGCCCTGCATCTTGTCGCCTTGGTTCAGGGATCCTGTCAACTCTTCAGTTTTGTTGTCACTGCCCAGTTCAGAGATGTTGTCATTATTCACTGCTGCCGAGTCGGTTCCAACTCATAGCAACCCTGCATATGGTTTCCAAGGAGCAGCTGGTGCATTTGAACTGCCGACCTTGCAGAACAAACTTACCTTTTGGTCTAGTGTTTAATTTGGGTGCACAGAGGCTCAGTCTGCATAGTGTCAGTTGATGCTGGCTGGTAGTCAGGGACTGAGAGGGTATGAGTCAAAGCTCTTTAGTCTGGGAGTTCCTGAAGTTACTTGAGTGGCCCTATGTTGAAAGCCACCTGCCGCTGCTTCTCTGTCTCATGCTTCTTTGTTTTCTGTCTCCTGTGGTCACTTAGCTTCCCCCCCACAGGCTCAGATGACTGCACAGGGCCTCAGTTTCCCTGCCTCATTTGTCACTGTGAGGCCAGGTTATTCTGTGTTGCCTTGTCTTTTCACCACAGCCTCGTTCCCACATGTGCTTTTCCAGGGTATCCCTGCAGGCCGCGGAGCAGCCACTCTTGCACGGGGTAGCAGGCCTGTGGCCACGGATCCTAGTGCACGTGGCCAGCTGGGGCGGTTATCTCCTTCCCACTTCTCATCTCAGCTGATGTGGGGGAGGCACCTGTCCTTTGAACTCTGTGAGTGCAGGGTTAATGGCATTTTGCTCACCTTTGTATCTTGGTACCCTGGGCAAGCCCCCAGTGAGTGTTTGTTGAATGACCTAAGTGTCGTTACCCCTCATTCACAGATGGGAGGACAGCAGCTTGTCCAGAATCATTCAGCCAGTAAGTGACTGAGCTAGGAGGTCAATGTGGGTCCAGCTTGCCTCCAAGGCCATGCTGTGCCCATCTCTGAATAAAACTCAAAGAACCATTTCTAAATAAAACAGTCAATCCAGGTGGAGCCACGAGGAAAATTTAAGAGACCAGAAGCTCCGTCAGTACCCGGTATCCCCGGTAGAAGGAGGAATTTGAACAATGTGTCTATACCTTCCTTTCTTCTACCCACAGGGGTCCCAGAAGGAGCTGCTGAACTTGACTCAACAGGACTATGTGAACCGCATTGAAGAGCTTAACCAGTCACTGAAGGATGCCTGGGCCTCCGACCAGAAAGTGAAGGCTCTAAAAATAGTCATCCAGGTCAGCGCTAATGATTTTTCTCCCTCCCCCCTCCCCCCCCAGAAATTTCCATGTAAAAATTTTTTTGGATAATTAGGGTTTTCAGAGAACTGTCTTCAGAGTCTTCCCCTATTTCTCATCTGTTCCATTTTCACCTACGGCCTGTGAAAGACCATGAGTCTGACTGCTGTATTTGTGTGAGATGCCAATCCCAGGACCACCCTGGGCAGCGGCACAGGTGATGCCCTGCACAACTCCAGGAAGAACCTTTCACCCTAGCTCACGGCCCTGCAAGAACACTCATTGATTCCTACAGACTGAAGGGTGGAAAACTTTGAGAGGGATTTCCTAGACCAGGTTGGCTTTGTGTCTCTGAGACTCATGGCTGTGGTCCTCTGCTTTCTGCATCTTGTGAAGCATATTGTGTATTATTAGCTGAGGAAAGCGAGTTCAGGATGTTAGGAGAGGTACATTTATTGAGGTGACAAATCTTGGCTCACAGGAACAAGTTCCATAAGAAAAACCACTTATTTTGTGTCTTGGCAGCTCATGGTTCAAAGAGTCCTGTGAAATGATCAGCTTATACCTTAGCCTCTGCAGAGCACAGTTTATAAAGGATGTCGCCACAGCCATTTTAGGGTTTGTTTTTTTTTTATGTTTTATTCTGAATTATGTGATAGTTTACATGGGGGAACATTAGCTTCACATTCATCCTATCATATATCGTTTCATTGCCATGGTTACAACATTTTTGTTTAGGAGGCAGATTCAACTTCTTTGATGGCATGAGGACCTGTCCTTTGTTTTCTCACTGGTTTCTTATAAAGAAGGGTTAGGAGTGTCTGGGAGCATTCACACTGGCTATTTGAAGTCTTTTAAGATGACTCTTTGTGTCTTACCAGCTGTTTTGTGTGTGTGTGTGTGTGTGTGTGTGTGTGTGTGTCTCACGGCAGGAGACCAACTCGAGCCCCTTCCGTCACTGTTGTTCATTTACTAAGTAAATGTTCCCGAAGAAGGGCCTCTCATCCTGGGTGCACGTGAGGGGCTCCAGTGAGAAAATATCTGAACCAACAAGCCTTCCTTCCAAATGTTTTTATTGGCAACATCCTCCCACAGATTACTGTAGTATGGAACTGTGATTTCTAAGAGTTCTGGGGGAGATGGGATTCCTATTTTCACAAACGAAATCACAATGGGAGTGTTTAATTAAGTCCACATCTGGTTAATAGTAATGACTCCACTTTCCATACCTTAAAGATGGCCTCTTCATCCACAAACATGAAGGTCAGAGAAGCGAGCCCAGTTTACCTTTCTTGCTTTGCAGTGAGTTTTGTATTTTTGGTTTTAGGCAGCTTTATTAAGGCATATTTTATATATCATAAAATTCATCCACTGTAAATATAAAAATGCAGTGATTTGTAGTAAACTTACAGACTTGTATGATCATCACACAGTCTCATTCTAGAACATTTTTATACCACTAGAAAATTTCCTCAAGCCTGTTTGCATTCCCGCCCCTTGGCCCAGGCAACCACCAACCTGCTTTCTGTGTCTGTAAATCTGCCTTTCCTAAATGGTGGTGTTGGTAAGTACCATCCAGTTGTTTCTGACTCCTAGTGACCCTGTATAGGGTTTCCAACAACCTCGTGGTAGTGTAGTAGATTAGGAGCTGGGATGCTAACTTCAGGGTCAGCAGTTCAAATCTACCAGTTGCTCCACAGGAGAAAGATGAGGCTTTCTGTTCCCATAAAGATTTACAGCCTCAGAAACCATATATAGGGTTGCTGTGAGTCAGAACTGACTCCACGGCACACCACCACCACTAATTGGGTCTTTTTTTTTTTTCTTTCCCTTCTTAGTAAGTTTTAGCAAATTTTTTTTTATGTTCTCCATACGAATTTGTCAGAAGTCAGGTGACCATAAACATAAGGGTTTGTTTCTGGACTCCCAACTCTGTTGTATTGATCTACATGCCTGCCCTTTTGCCAGTACCGCATGGTCTGGGCTACTATTGTTTTATAGTGGTCTTTGAAATTGAGTACTGTCTGTCAGTCTTTTAACTTTATTCTTCTCTTTCAAAATTGTTTAGCTATTCTTGGTCCTTTGCATTTCCACGTACATTTTAGGATCAGCTTGCCATTTTCTGCACACAAAAAAAGCCTACTGGAATTGTGATAGGCATAACATTGGACCCTGTGGAAGTGATAGTTATCTTAACAATAGTGAGTCTTCGGATGCATAAATTGTGTGCCGTTTATTTTGTTGTTGTTGTTAAGTGCCGTCCAGTTGGTTCCAACTCATAAGGATCCTGTATAGGGTTTCTGAGGAGCGGCTGGTGAGTTTGAACTGCCAGCCTTGAGGTTCAAACCAACCTTTCAGTCCAGTGCTTATCCCACAGCAGCATCTGGTAAGGCTCTCTGGTGGTGCAGTGGCAGTTCAGAGACGTCAGCCACTTGCTCTAAAGAAAGACGAGTCAGTCTTCCTTGGGAACCGTGTGAAGCAGTTTTACTGTATTCCTGTAGGGTCGCTATGAGTCAGAGTCAACTTGATGGCCGTGGATTGGGCTTTAGGTATCTGGTTCTTGTCTTTTCTTTTTCATTTTTGCAAATGATGTTGCTGTGTCTTCTGATGCTGCTGGAGATTAGTGTTTCTCAAGATGACGGCACATACCGAAGATTAGGATTGCTTGGGCATTGGGTATGCACCTCCTCAGCATTCTGGGATACTGCTGCTGTTTAACCAAGTAACTGTACTAGCCCAGACTCCAGTTTCAGTGTGAGAGTTGGTGCTATTCAGCATCCTAGCAGTGTTTGGTGTGAGTAGACTTTTTAGTTTAATTTTTCCAATTGAGGAGGTAATAACATTTTATTTTCCTGTGGTTTTAATTTGTGTTTCTCTGATTGCTAATAAGCTCGGTCATCTTTTCACATGTTTATTGGTCACTGGGGTTTACCATTCTGTAAAATGTCTTTTGTTTCATCCTTTTGGTCATTTTCCTATCATGTCACTTGCATTTTTCTGATTGAGATTTTACAGATTGTTTTCACATATTGTGGATTCTAAGATGCTTAGTCATCTTAATTAATTCTCAGCCACCAGTCAGTATTTAATGTGGCCACGTGACTGCTTGTTAAAATCACTAAAAAAAAAAAAAAAAGCCAAACGTAATTTTAGAAACGGTTTCCTGCTAGAATACTGCTATTGGAAATAAATTTCAAAAACACCCTGTTCAGTAGTTTTCCAACAGTGTTAAAAAATTTAAGCATTTCAACCAAAGCATTTTGTCAGTTAGTTATTCTGTGAACATTTATGGTGGGCTCTCTACCTTGACGGCATATGAGCATCACTCAGAGCTTTAAATATCCTGATGTTCATGCTGCCTCCCAGGCCAATTTAATTAGGACCTCTGAGGTGGTTCTCATCGCTGCAGATGTTCCAGACGCTGCTGCAGTTGACAGCAGTCGGTTTCTAGGATGTTTATTACATTCGGGCAACAGAGGAGCTGGTCCCGGGTGGTATACCCAGTCTCCCCTGCTTGTGTATGAATAACAAATCACCTGGGACTCTTGTTGAAAATGGTGATTCTCAGGTCCCTGTGCTACAGATTTTGACCAGTAGGTATGGTATACCACTGCACCCTGATGGCACAGTGGTTAAAGCTAACTGGAAGGTTGGTGGTTCAAACTTACCAGTCTCTCAATGGGAGAAAGATGAAGCAATCTGCTTCTGTAGAGATGGCAGCCTTTGGAAGTTCTATGGAGCAGTTCTATTCTGTCCTTTAGGTCTGTAGGATTGGAATAGACGAGATGTCAGTGGGTTAGACTTGGTATGGAGCCTTGTTGTTGTGAAGTTCCATCGAGTCGGTTCTGACCCATAGCGACCCTGTATAGGATTTCTGAGGAGCAACTGGTGAACTTGAGCTGCCGGCCTTGTGGTTCAAACTGACTTTGTAGTCCACAGTGCCACACCAGGATTTTCCATGACCACCCCAACCTGATTGTGATCAGATCAAGTTTAGGAATCTGCACCAAAACGTTAGAAACTTTTACTAAAGGAGTAGTTCTGAGAAGGTCATTTGAATTCAGTAGATTACTTTGGCTTTAATTTTAGATTCAGACAAAATTCTGGTTTCTGTCATGTAACAAGGTAAAGGATGGTGATCAGTTTCATAGCTTTCAACAATGACCCTTATTCATTCATCTTAGGTCATCTAAATAAGGCTACCTTGAAAGTGACTTGCATAACTTTGGGGATCTCTGCCTTTTCCAGAAAATGGAAATTCGGGATAATACATGCATTTCAAATAAAAATAACTTCAGATGTGTCTATTTTTTAGGTTTGATTGATGCTCTAAAGATCACATGGGGGTAGTTTTTGATACATAATATGAAAAACTGTATGTAACAGAACAGAGAATAAGAATCGAGAGTTTTTGCATATCAGATGTAAGCAAATTGACTGGTTCTATTGCCCTAGACTCACGCCACAGCTGTTGTGGGATAGGACTCCTGCTGTGTTCCTGCAGAGGAAGATGAGGAGACTAGGCTTCAGGGTGGAATTGTCAGACATTCCACACTACCTCTGCATTGTTAGATGAGCTGTTAGCCGAATCATAAAGGCTTTGTTCCTCCCTCAGTAAAGGAGGAAAATACGTAAATGGTTTATTTGTATGAGAACTGTTTCTCTACCCGGTTTTTTAAAAGCCTTCATAAAATAGTCACTGACATTTTACTTGATAAAAATTAATGATTTTTGTTTTGGTCCTGGTATGGCACTGTGGGTTAATGCGCTAGACTGCAAAGTCGGTTTGAACTGCAAGGTGGTTGGTTCAAGCTTACCAGCTGCTCTTCGGAAACCCCATACAGGGTCGCTGTGAGTCAGAACCTACTCTACGGCACTTAACAACATCAACAACTCTAAAGTTGTTTAGATTAATCGCTATTTTATTACCTTACAAGTGAAATTTTTTTCTCGTTTTCTTCAATAAAGCAATTTGAGACCTCCCCTCCACCTATTTTCCCCCCACCTACTTGAATATAGCTAATTGGCAGACTAGAGAATTGTGTCACCTCATTTTGGTTTTGTACCAATAAAATACACCTGGGGAACTGAAAATAAAAACAAATTCTGGTTCCTGTCATTTTTCCCAGAATATGTTCTGTGAGATCAATATGGGCCGAAATCTGTGTGCAGATGTGTTTCATTTACAGTCTTCAGTTTAAATTCTCGCCCCTTACCTCACCCCTGTGCGTTCATTCATCTCAGTCTGATAGGCGAGCTCGAGGGATGGTCCGTCCCCAGGAACTCAGAGTACTAGATCGCAGTCTCTAGGCCTCACAATGTTTTTTTCCAGCTCCAAAATCTCTTGGGGGAAATTGTTTAAGTTAGATCTCTCTTAAAGATTCTATGAGAAACATAAAGCCAAGGATTCAGGAAATGGAGTCCCACATCCATCCAAAGGCCATGTTCACTTTCAACTCCATATTTTTTTTTTTAAAGCAACTTACATTTCGTTACCCAAATCACATTACCCAATCTGATGCTGAGGGGAAACTTGGTAAGTCTGATCATTTAGCTCGTGGGCAGCAACGCCAAATTGAAAACATATGTCACCCACCTCTTGATTCCGTGACCACTCAGTCTGTTCTCTGCACATTGGAAATGCACGGTACAGAACCTTTTCTAAATGCCCCAAGATTTTAAATTTGTATCTGACGTTTTCCTCACTGAGGGTCAACTGTTAAGAATTAATTTAATTCTCTGTCCGGGCTTTTGAATTTGCAAAGAGTTTCAGGACATGAATTTTTTTTAAAAAACTTTTTATTGTGAATTAAGTGAAGGTTTACAGAGCAGATTATCAGTTTTACAGTCAGCAAATCATGATTGCGATCCCATTTACCAACAGTTAACAGCGTTCATCTCTATTTACTTTAATATTGCATCCCTCCCTGTGTCCCCTGCTACCTTCATCTTTCTCTTATGTATTGCCTGCCCTGCCACCCATGTTGATATGTATTTACCCTCTAGCCCATAAATAATGTTCCTTCCTAAACCCCCACTTGTAAAAATAGATTGTCTCTTTCATCAAGAAAACCTTTGATTAACTTTTTACAACATTGGTCTCATACAGTATTTGTCTTTCAGTGTATCACTAACTTCATTCAGCATTTGGATTCTTGTATCTTTGTTTTAGACGGTCCATGGAGTGCATCTGCCTAGTCCATCATCTTGCCGGAAGTCCTGAGATTTGGTTTTCAAACTAAAAATTACTGTTTTTATTTCTGATTCTAAAAGAGGATTTCATCTGGAGTGTTTGGGGCCACATTGTGTGGCTGCAGCATTCCGTTAAGTGTTTCTGAAAATGTGGACAGCTCTTTGGCTACAGTGCAGGGATTGAACAGTTCTCTGCAGTATCCCTAGCACTGAAGACCAGTGCTTGCAGAAGAACATGTACTCTTGGAAGCTTGTCATGGTTCCTTATAGAAGGAAGTTTGGGAGTGAGTACAAATAATAGAAGTCAGTTTCAAAAACTCTGGGGATTTACTTAAGGGCTCTTTTCACAGAAAAGAACGCCTGTGCATCTAGACTTTCCTGGATTAATCATTCTGGAAAATGGCGGAAACAGAGTTTGGGCCACTTGAGGAGACTCTATTGAGAATGTTGTTCTTCATTTCTCTCAATGACTTTGAATGTTGGCCCTGGTTCATTGTATGAGCAAGGGCCTCTGGGTAAGATTTCCTCAGTCCTGTGGCCTCCGAGGGTTCATGGGTGCCATACATAGTTAAGTGCTTATTCTCACCAGAAGGTTGGCAGTTTTTGAACCCCCCCAGAGGCATATTGAAAGAAAGATCTGACCATCTGCTTCCACAAAGTCACAGCCTTAGAAATCTCTGGAACACAGTTCTCTTCTGACTCATGAGGGGGCTTCAAAAAATTCATGGAAAAATGGAATGAAAAGATAGTGGGATTTTCCCCCTAGCATTTTGAAACCCTCTCGGACATGGGGTTGTCATGTTTCAGAATGGACTTGAGGGCAACTGGTCTGTTTAGTTGCCTTCTGGTGGCTTCCTGGAATGAAGGGATAGCGTGTCATCTTAAGAGACTCTATTGGCAACAGTCTGGCTGCTTTTATCAAGAGCTCAGTGACCAGCCGGTCATGACTTCATTGACTTATCATTGCATCTCCAGTGCCTAGCACTGGGCTTACACCTTTTCACGTTGATAGAAACTCTTCATTTTCCACGCCTGGAGCATCTTAACCAACACAGACATGAAGAGTGACTTTTCCATCCTCTCTTTTTCCAGTGTTCAAAGCTGCTTTCGGACACAAGCGTCATTCAGTTCTATCCAAGCAAATTTGTCCTCATCACCGACATACTTGATACATTTGGTAAGTGTCACGCACCAGCATTGTAGATCTCGGGGATTGGTTTGTTTTGTCAGGAGGCGAGTGGGAGCGTTGCTTTAAGTGCCATTCTGTGTGGTTTAAACAACCAGGTGAACCTCGAGGGAGACAAAGCCATTTCCTCCAGTGTCACGAACAAGGCTGGTGTCTCTGAAAGAACCTTGAGTTACATGTTTTCTAGCTTCTGATCTTCTGATGGGCTAGTGAAGGGGTGAGGGAACCAGGCCAGCTGAGTGCACCCCCATCCCCTGTCTGTGCATTGCCATCACATAGACATCTGAAACTCCCTTTGAACTTGGCATCTGAGCCCAGCCCCTTTCCCTGCACCACAGTGTGTTTCTGTCTCACCAAGTCCCGTGGACTGTGCTCCTGAATCTCTCGCCCGAATGTCTGCTTCTCCCCACCTTACTGCTCAGACCCGAGTTCCAGCCACAGTCTCTCCAGTCGGGATGACTGCCCCAGCGCCTGCAGGGCTGCCTCTCATCTACTCTCCAGCCCGGGGCAAAGGGGCAGAAGTGGTCTTTCCCTGCCCCTGCAGCGAGATGTTGACCAAAGAGAACAACCTATAGCTTCCCTGGTTACTGGGGGGGCAGGGGGGAGTGTCAGATGAGCTACAAGGCACCAAATTGAAAGCATTCCCTGCCTTTGTGCCACTTAGCGTCCCTGTAAGAGAACATTTCAGGACAAATGAGCAACCCAGGTTGTACGGGCAAAACCAAAACCCACTTGCTGTTGAGTTGATTCCAACTCCTGCAGACCCCGTGTGTCAGGGTAGGACTGTGCTCCATGGGCTGTTCAGAGGCTGGCCTGTTGGGAGCATATCTCCCGTATTTTCTTTGGAGGCAACTTGTGTGGGTTCGAACCATCAACCTTTTGGTTAGTAGTCAGGCAGTAAACTCTTTGTGTCCCAGCACCATGGAGAAAAAGCAAAGTGGGATAGAATGAGGTGAGGGGCTGGGTAAGGCGGGCTTGCAGTGTTGAATCAGGTGGTCAGAGGTGACCTCACTGAGCAGTTAGGTGTGTGAACAAAGGTTAGTGAGAGAAGAGCCACGGGGTTCTGTGAGTGTAGGCAGGGAACATCCTGTGCAGAGACCTGAGGGTAGGAGAGCGCCTGGAGGAGCCCAGCATGATTGGAGTTGAGTGGGCAAGGGGCAGAGGAGGAGTGGGCGTGGGAGTGGGCGTGGGTGTGGGCGTGGGCGTGGACCAGGGTGGGTCTAGACACCATTGGAAGGTCTTTGGTTTTGACTCTTGAGGGGTAAGGGGTCACTAGAGAGTGTGGAGCAGAGGAGTGGCTTGGTCGCTGTTGGGGCAGCGGTGGGAACAGCCTGTGAGGTAGCTGTAGCCACACTTCTGGGAGCTGATGGAGGTGTGGACCAGGGGGCACAGTGGAGATGTGAGTTGTGGTCGAGAACAGGGCTTCGTCGGCGCTCAGGCAGTTTGTCCTGCACACAGCTTGCCCTCAGGGGTGAGGGCATCAGTAAGGGAGAGCTAGTGGCTGGGCTTGATTCTGCTGGCAGTGATATTTCTCATGACGCATCAGTACTTCAGCCTTCCAGTTTTCCTCACCCCCTTCTGCCAGTGTCTTTGTATGAGTCAGTGTCCCCGAGTGACGACCATCACCTCACAAGAACTTTGGGCAGCCAGTTGGCCAGTTCCTGCTGGCAGCACCCCAGCCGGTGTCACATCTCAGCAAGCTAGGATTGGGGCAGATGTCTGCCATCCTTGCTACGTCCCAGGACATTGGAAAGAACAATGATAAACTCTCAACAATGCCTTATGCCAGACTCTCTCCAATCTGCTTTTACAGATGCAAGTCAGAAAGGGCCTCTTACTGTCCTCATTGCATAGGTGAGGAAATGGCGGGCATCTAGTAGCTCGCTCTACTCAGAGCTCCCGCTTTATTTCTCTGGTGCTCTGCTCATGGGGGAAGTCTACGTCTTCATGAAAATTAAAACTGTGTACCTCTGGGAATTGCTCCATTTACAATAGCAGAAGATTGGAAACCCCCCAGGGGGCCCTCAATAAGGCACTGGTCCCATCGATTCTAGTACCTTTGGGTTGTGTCCCCACAGGGAAGGGTCTTCAGGATATGTTGTTAAGCAAGGAAAGTCAAGGTGTAGACCAGCAGATAGAGTACGAGTCTTAGCGATCTAGTGCTACGGGCACAGAAATGCCTCAGGTGGATGGCTTAACAACCCAGAGTTTATTCTCTCAGCTTCAGAGGCCACAGGTCTGAATTCACAGTGCTGGCTCTAGGGGAAGGCCTTTTCTCCCTCTGTTCGCTCTGTCTGCTTTCAGCATATGCGGGCCTAGCATTCCTTGGCAATCTCCTGTGTCCTGGCTTGGATCTAGGGGCTTCGCAGTGCAGGGACCCCAGGCCCAGAGGTCACACTCCATTCCAGCTTTTCTTTCTTGTTGGTCATAGATCCCTCTGAGCTTTGTTTACTTCACTCTCCTTTGAAAAGAGACATCGTAAACCACACCCTTAGAGACACTCCCTTCACATTGGACCAGGACTGTGATGGGAAATTCCCTTATTGGCTTATGTCATTGGTCAGTTTGTCTTACTAGGATGGACTGTGTGTTCTGTGAGGCTGGAAGCTATGGCACCAGTATTTTAAATCCCAGCAGGATCACCCATGGTGGGCAGGTTTCAGCAGAGCTTCCAGACTATGACAGACTAGGAAGAAGGAGACGGGGGCTGCTTCTGAATGGTTAGCCACCCTTATAGATAGCAGGGGAAAGTTGTTAGACACAGTGCCAGAAGATGAAGACATGGAGAGCACCAGAACATTGTAGAATGCGTGTCAGAAGATGAGCCCCTCAGGTTGGAAGGCAAAACCAACCATTCCCACGTTAGAGTTCCGTACACCATATAAACATGGTAGTGTAGTGGATTATGCATTGGACTGCTAACTTCAAGATAAGCAGTTCGGTCCTACCAGCCGCTGCATGGAAGAAAGATGAGGCTGTCTGCTCCTGTAAAGATTTACAGCCTTAAAAACCCTATACCGGGCTGCTATGGGTTGAAGCTGACTCGACGGCGCCCCACCACTAACACTGCTATGGAAGTTGTTGTTGTTAAGTGTTGTCGATTTGGTTCTGACTCAGAGCAACCCTGTATAGGATTTCTGAGGAGTGGCTGGTCCGTTTGAACAGCTGATCTTGTGATCAGCGGTCCAGGACTTATCCTACAGCACCACACCAGAACAGGCCGGCTTGTTGTTAAGTACCATCGAGTTGGTTCTGACTCATAGTGACCCTGTATAGGGTTTCTGAGTAGCAGCTGGTGGGTTTGAACCGCCGACCTGTGGTGCATGTGTTGTCTGTGAGCATCCTTTGACCACTGAGTAAATAGATAGATGGATGATTTCTTTTTACATTGTGTTTCAATAAAGACTCCAAAGGGTAGATTCATCACTTTTCCTGTTTCTCATGAAAAGAGAAGTAAAGGTTGGTTTAAAATCTGTCCCACTAGGTGGTAGCATACTCCCATGAGAGAAAGTCTGCCTTGCCGATGACAGCTCCTTGTTCCTACCACCAGCTATAGTTTCCACAGCATACTTTACTCTGTGGGATTCCGTAATTCATTGCAGCGCCTGCAGCGCCACACAGAAATCAGGCACCATTCTTAAGTTACAGGGCTTATTAGGGTCAGA